TACAAATAAAAAATACAAAATAAAGATAAAATGTCAAAAAAAGGAAAAAAAAAAAGATGAATACAAATATTGGTCATAGAGAGATGCCACATCAAATTGTCAATATTCAGCTTTATATATACATATATAGGTTCATGCCCTTAGATGTTATTTTATTACTTTAGTTGGCATCGACATTTTTGTAAATCTGATATCTACTTTGGAACATTTATAATGTGGCATAGGCTGACAATTGAGATCATAAATTTAAAATAATAAAATTTAATTTATTATAATACTAATATCAATATATATATATATATATATATATATATCATTTAAAAAATATATAAAAAGTATTATAAATTGTAATAATTAACCGCTTTTTTAAAAAAAATCATATAACTAATTTGATTTACACTCCAAAATTCATAGGTGTCACCTAATTTACACATTAATTCTTCATTACTTAATATATGTAATTATATCAATGACATATAAATTGAAATTAAAAAATACATATTTTATTTGAAAATCACGTAATAGTACTATAAGGTATAATAATTAACAACTTAACATATTTTAAAATTTTAGTTGACTCTCCGAATTCCATATGTCTCATGTAATTGAGACAGAAAAAAACATATATTGGTTTAAAATTAATAAAAATATTATAAATTATAATAATTAACAACTTAAAATTTATAAAAAAAATCCTTTAAAATTTTTTAGTTGGCTCTCCAAATTCAATCGGTATTACAATAATTAAAACATAGAAATTAACATAGATTGGACTCCTGCTGACATTTATGTTTCCTTTTTCTAAATTTTTTCTTTTATACTTTATATAAATAATTTTTTATGTAAAAAGTATTATAAATCATAATAATTAATAGCTTAAAATATTTCAAAACATATAAAAAGTTTTTGTTAACTTTCAAAATTTCATCTATACCGCATAAATTGGGAGAAATATAGATATATAGATATTTTAAGTTGTTAATTATTGTAAGTTATAGTACGTTTTATGTAATTTTCATATATATTACTCGGTCCTGATTTATGTGATACAAATGAAATTTCAAAAGTCAATGAATTTTTTATAAGTTTTTTTTTATATTAACTTGTTAATTATTGTGATTTCTAATATATTTACGTAAAACATACTCTAAATACAAATAATTAGCAACTTAAAATATATAAAAACATACTAAAAAATTGATTAACTTCAAATTTCATATGTACCACATAAATTAAAACAGAAACAGTAACATATATTGGGCCCCGTGCTGGCACGGGGTCCCATATCTAGTATATATATATATATATATATAAATGTTATGTTAAATAATTATAAATCATAATAATAAACAATTTAAAATGTTTGACTATATTTTAAACAGAAAAGGGCCTAAAATATCCTCGAAGTATTGAAAATGGTACAAAATTACCCTTCATCCACCTATTGGCTCCAAAATACCATTGTCATTCACCTTTGGGTCCAAAATTAACCACTTATTTAACGGTTTTAAATTTAAATTATTTAAATATTTTTTGGAAAAATGCATAACTACCCCCAACCTATGCCCGAAATCTCAGAGACACACTTATACTATACTAAAGTCCTATTACCCCCTCAAACTTATTTTATAAATAATTTTCTACCCCTTTTCGGCCTACGTGGCACTATTTTGTTGGCCCAGCGCGTGTTGACAATTTTTTCAAGCAATCTGGTTGATAGTGTCACGTAGGCCGAAAAGGGGTAGAAAATTATTTATAAAATAAGTTCGGGGGGGGGGGTAATATGACCTTAGTATAGTATAAGTGTGTCTCTGAGATTTCGAGCATAGGTTGGGGGAGTACTTATGCATTTTTCCATATTTTTTTAAAATACGTGACACTCAACTATTGATTATAATTTAATTTAGAACAACTTTTACATATAGCAAACATAAAAATCATATTTGTATGTTATAGCTATAATTTGCATAATTACGCTCCATAACATATTCTATGTTTGCTATGAAACTTTTGATTTGTATAATTTGCTAGATACATCCAATTTCATACAAATTGTTCAGTTTTGTATAAATTCATTTATACATTGTAATTTGTATAGTAAGATATGTATTTGTATAATTATAAGTGTATAGGACGAAAATATATGTATTTGTATTTGCATATACACTTTTCTCTTGTTTTATACAAACACAAACACATTTTATACATTTGTATACCGAATGGGTAATTGTATACCCAAAATGGCTAATTGTATATCGAATCAGATGACAAAAAAAAGGGGATGTTTGCTGCGAATTGCAAATAAAATAAACTATGACTATAACATTTAATTTGAATTAATAATTTGCTATTTCATACAATTTTCCCTTTAATTTATTAATATAATTTATAAACCCACCCATTACTAATTAAACCTGACCCAATTAATAAGCCCATCCCAAATCCACCTTATAAACAAAACCCTGAACCCTTCCTTTCCAAGATTGTTTTTTAGCAACTTTCACATATAACAAACATGAAAATCATATTTGTATGTTATAACTATAGTTTGCATAATTGCGCTTCATAACAAACTTTATGTTTGCTATGACTATTAATATGTATATTTCGATATACATATACAAAAGAAACAATTGTATAATCTGTTTCGGTATACATATACAAAAGAATCAATTGTATAATTTGTGTTTGTATAAAGCGAGAAAGAGAGAAAGACAAAAATAAAAGTGGGGCAGGGGAAGATCTGTATTTATATAATCATAAGTGTATATGATGAAAATATACGTATTTGTATTTGTATATACAATTTTCTTTCGATTTATACAAACACAAAGGCAATTTATATATTTGTGTTTGTATAAAGTGAAAGAGGCGAGCGAGATCTGGGAGAGTGGCGAGCGATATCTAGGAGAGAGGAACGAAAAGATATGTATATATACATTTTTCTCTCGCTTTATACAAACATTAACACATTTTATATATTTGTGTTTGTATAAAGTGAGAGAGGTGACGAGAGACTGCCCAAAGAGAAACGAGAGTGGCGAGCGAGAAATTCAGAGAGAGGCGAAATGACAACAGTTTGCTACGGGTTACAATTAAATCAAACTGTGATTATAACATTTAATTTAAGTTAATAATTTTTATTTTATATAATTTTTCCATTGTTTTTTTCTCCGTCGATTTCTCCTAGGTTTATAAGATTAACAACCAGAAGCCATGGAAGCCAAAGAGAGAGAAGTAAAGAATATCATAACATTGTGTACGAAGTCGGAGAATTTTCTGTAAATAGGATGAAAAGAGAATCTGTGCTTAATACCGTATATTAAAGAGTATAGGAGCAAAGAAGTGACAGAAAGTCATTATTTTGGGATGGGTGGTAAAAGGATCAGTGCCTTGATATTATAGCTGTATAAAGTTGAGTAAAATGGTGAAGAAGAATCCAACAAGTGTGATACTACTCTGTTCCTGTATAAAAATGGAATTGAAGCGATTGGCAATCTTATAAACGTAGGAGAAATTGATTGAGAAAAAAACAATCTTAGAAAGGAAGGGTTCAGAGTTTTGTTTATTAGGTGGATTTGGGACGTGTTTATTAATTGGGTCGGGTTTAATTAATAATGAGTGGGTTTATAAATTATATTAATAAATTAAATTATAACCAATAGTTGAGTGCCACGTATTTAAAAAAATATTTAAGTAGTTTAAATTTAAAATCGTTAAATACGTGGTCAATTTTGTACCAAAGGGGGATGACAAGGGTATTTTGGAGCCAATAGGTGGATGGAGGGTAATTTTTTACCATTTTCAATACTTTGAGGATATTTTAGGCCCTTTTCCGTATTTTAAAAATAACATAAAAAGTACTAAAAATTATAATAATTAATAATTTAAAATACTGAAAATATTATAAATTTTGATTGAGTCTTAAAAGTCTATTAGTGCACATAGATTAAGACAATGAAAATAACATATATTATTTAAATTATAAATCACAATAATTAATAATTTAATAATTATAAAAAAAATTAATTGACAATTCCATTTGTATGGTATAAAAGTTACATCTCTCCCATTATATGATTTACTTTTCTTTTTACACTTTGTTTGGATCATTGTTACCCATTGTATTGTATTGTATCGTTACTATATTTATAATGTTTGTTTTGATTGTTATTTAAAATGTGTTGTATTGTATTGTTAAATTCCATTGTTATGTAACAATGAAAACCCCCATTTTATGGAACAACCAATTTGGTGTGTTTCCATTGTTACTTAATTTCTTTTTCCAATTATATCTTTACATAATATTTCATAATATTATTTTACCCTTTATCTTATACTCCCTCTGTCCACAATTAATTGTCATGATTTTCTTTTTTAGAGTCAAACAATAAGAACTTTGACCAACATTTTACGATGTATATTTTCATCATATAGATATGCAAAAAATTGCAACTTATAGTACTTTTCGTATAGTTTTTGAATATCTAATTTTTTTTTTAAAAATATCGAATTAACCTAATCTAATTTAACTTTAAAAATTAGTCAAATTGACTTTCGAAAAGCGCAACATGACAAATAAAAGTGGACAGATGGAGTATTATTTAATTCTAGTCAAACCTCCTACCATAGAATAATTAAGGATATTTTAGTAAATTTATAAATTACAATACAATACGATACAATCAAACCAAACAATAAAAATGTTATTAAACAACAAACAATACAATCTAGTCAAATATTGTATCAACCATACAATACAGTACAATACAATACAATACAATACATTATGAAACAATGAGTAACAATGATTCAAACAAAGTGTTAGTCAATTTAAAACAAAATCACAGATTTCTATATTTAGTAATAATTTAATTTTAAAATGTCTATTTTATTATTATGAAATGATAACTTATTTTAGACCATAAAATTTCAAAAGTTTATTTTTATTTTATAAATTTTGTATTAATTTAAAGTAACAGATATAAATTGAGACGAGAGAGGAGAGAGCTGGTGGTTTGGGAGTTATGGATTAGTCGACAAATTGTTCCATACACTTTATCTCTTTTCAAGGCAGAGACAGGTGGAGACAGCTTCTTTCTCCAGCCATGGAGATTGTGGTTCAAAGTTCAGTTGGTCAATATTCGAAACCCTTCTACAGCTTAGCTAGAAACCGAATAATGGCAGCATCAGTTCCAATTACAAGAGTTAAAGCAATGGATAGGAGAAGAGAGGGAATTTCACAACTCACTTCTCATTCTTTTTTTCCTGCTATTAGGAGAATAAGAGCAATGCATAGGAGCATCACTTCTTCTCCAACGGGTATCTACTTTTTTGTTCCTGCAACTCCCTCGTCTTAGAGATTTTGTTACTTTACCTTTATCGATTGTAAACTATATGTAACTTTAATTTTCAAAATTCCACTAACGATGAGTTTATGTACTTCTTAAAATTGGTGTAAATTGGGACGGAAGGAGTAATTCTGAGTTTTGAATTATTAATTGTCACCTAGCTTCTCAGAAATATAGTAGTTTGGGCCTTTAATTTGCTACTATTTGTATTTATCAGAAAAAAATAATAATTGTGCTTACTATGTGGTGTTCCATTAATTCCATTGAAGGTGATACAGTTTCTTTTGCAACACCTGAGGTGGGAGTTAGCAATACTGAAACACGTGAATGGGCGATGCAAGGTAAATTTATACAATGCCAAAATGATGTTATTTCAGCCTTAAAGAAATAGTATGATGAACGCTTGAGATTTTCTTTTAATAATTTTGATAAGAAATTTTGGTTATATTGGATCGTTGTACTCATTAACGTCCGAGGTGCATTCTGAACTTCCTTTTCGCTTTCTTGCATTTTGTATTATGTTTTATTTTGGATAATGGTGGTCTCTGGGCAACTTGTATACACCTCGACTAATTCCACGTGACACCTGCATTTTGTCTTATGTGTCTTGTCTGGATTTTGATAGAACTTTTAAGTTGAGACATAATGTTTGGACCATGGAAACAAAACAATGTGTTATGGTGAAGTATCTATGCTTAGCTGCATCTAGATTTTTACTTCAGTAGTATTTACATGTATGTTCTTCATTTGTAGTGGTTGTGTGGCCATGCTTTTGTAACTTTGTGACAATATGTCCTAGAAGAACTGCACACCTGACACCTTAATAGCAAGGCATTATGTATTTACCCATACTGTGCTGTTAAACTCTTGTTACTGAACTTGACAAGGGGCTATAAGACTGTAAATGTGTTTCTCCATCCTACCATTCCACATCAACACCTTTTAGAAGGTTGCACATTCAGAAGTCTTTGTTTCAACAACTAGTTGAATATTCTATGGAGTATGAGGGGAACTGTAAGCCCATGAAACCTGTACCGACAGATCAACTTTAAGGAAATGAAAAGTTCTATTGTCAACTTTGTAATAAATTTTGCGTTTCTTTTAGATTATAAGTACCAATATTTTGGTGGAGTGATACCTAAATTTTTTGCAAGTGCAATATTACCGTGCAACCATTGCCATAAACCCAGGCAGCCTTCATAGGAAAAAAAGGAATTGCCAACTATTTGAAAGAAATGGAATGAGTGGGACCTTAAGAAAATAACATGAAGGTGGTGGCTCAGGGGGTGTTGAAGCTAAGATGCTAGGGCTCCTTATAACAGAGAAGTTGTCAAACATTAATGTTATAAAGGTTGTTTTTGTTCTTCAGGAGAAGGGGTCATGATTGATGAGGATGGCAAAACATATCATCAATCATAAAATATGGGTAACTCATGGGTATCCACCAATTACACTCTCCTTAAAGTTTGTAACGATGTAGAAACCTATAAAAGTACACTTATTAAGGGTGTGTTTGGTATGAAGAAAAAATATTTTTGAAAAATAATTTCAAATTTTCTAATTTTGATTGACTTAAATGTTTTGGAAATATTTAAGTGGCTTATTTTTCTCTAATTTAAGAAAAATGATTTCCGTACATAAAGTAGGGGGGAAAATTCAGAACTTTTTTTTAAATCACGAAATAATTTTTCAGAACTTCCCTTAAACCTCACCACTTAAAACTGGTCCGGGATCCGACTTCCGACCCCGACTCGAGACCCAAAGATTGACCTCCCAACCTCAATTCAGGACCACTAATTTTCCAAAAAAATATATTCTAGAAAAAAATGAAAAAATATTTTCCTTCATACCAAATACACACTAAAAGGAGAAAGAGAATAAGAGAAAAATCTTGTAATTTGAAAGTATTTATTTCTTTACATAATAAGAAGCAAAGTCGAGTCGGATATTCTATCAATTTTCACCTAACTAATTTTGACCAACCCATATCCGACTCTACCCACCCATTTGCCACCTCTAGTTGAATGTTTGTAGTTTGGCATATGTGTGTACCTTACTTTTTATATTGTAGTTCATTTTGTTAATTCCAAGTGAGCCATCTATTTATTTTTTGCTAGTAAGGAGTTATACGAATAGTTTATTCATTTAATTTTTTTTTTAATTAATAAAATTGAACTTTTTGTTACCTTTCTCAGAAAACAAAATATTTCCAAGGGATTTTTTCATAGGTGAAACCATGTGCTTCAACAAAGTGTACACTTCAAACAATGACGTGCAAAGTAATCCAAACGAAAAGCAATTGGTTCTTTGAATCTCAACTCCGAGGAGTTGGATTATATAGACATTATTGTATATTGGATGTTGAAATAATTTATTTTGATTATAATTTGATTATTGTATCACTAAATTTATCTATGTTTTTGTATTTTTTGAACTTTTAATATTTGTGCACTTGTCTTCCTTGTGAGATTACGCTTTGTTTGTTGTTGTTGTACGCTTGTCTTCAAAGAAGCATGCACTTCACTTCTTGCTTTTCGCTTCAAACTGCATGGACCTTATCACTTAATTGCGCTTTTCAATTTTAAAAGACTGCTTCTGAAATCACGTGTAGGGAAGGGACTCTTTTTAGTCATCTTTGAATGAAATTCACTTTTCTAGAAATCGAAATTCAAAGTTGTGGATGGCAAGTAGCTTCTACAGTCACAATTTTCTGGGTAGCACTTAATCTTTGTGCAATCTTCTGCTGAACTTTTCATGTTTTATGGAGTATTTGGCTCCTTATGTGTTGGAGTGTTTGTACTGTTTTATATGGCCACAGATTTCTATACTTTAAGGAAGGATGTAGAAACTGTCTTAGAGCGTGTTCAGGAGATCAGAGCTGCTGCTGGTCTAAAGCAATTACAGGAGGATCTTGCTGCTTTAGAAGCAGCAGCTGCTGATAGCTCTCTCTGGGATGATCGTGCTAAAGCTCAGGAAACACTTCAGGCTTTGACTGATTGCAAAGACAAATTAAAGCTTCTCCGTGACTTCAAGACACAGGTACCTATACTTTCCTTCAAAGAGAGATGGAGAGCAGAAAACACTTGTACTATGTTGTTTCCTTGTTAATATCAAAACTCATTTTTCCATTTTTGCTGAAACATCTTTGTACTATAATAGTCTTGCACTGGAGGTCCTATTGTATCTTGTGAGGCGTATGTCACCTTTAACTTTGATTTGTCTTTGCAGTAAATGGTTAATGGTTCAAGGACATTTAAGAATCCAGTGGTTACTAATCTTATTCTTCTGGAGAATCTCCTTCATTTCCCCTAAATACCTCCTTCTGTCCATAGTTTGGAATATTGATTAAAAACTAAAGAGGAAGATAATAGAGTGGACAGATGTCCATTTGAAAGATTAAAAAAAAAACATTTTTTCCCCTTTGATGTGCAATTAAAAAATTTGCAAAGCTTTTCTGTTTGGGGCACTTCTAGAATTTTCTTCTAGTCCTTGAAAACATCTCAGGTATCTCACCACGTATTTAGATATTTATTCATAAATCAGTGTCAGTACGACAGTGACAATTCAGTAATTCACACTTCCACAGGCTGATGATGCAGAAACGATTGTTAAGCTCACTGAGGAGATGGACTCAATTGATTCAGTGTTTCTTCAAGAGGCCTCTGGTATCATAAAGGAATTGAACAAGGCACTGGATCGTTTTGAGTTGACTCAACTTCTTTCAGGCCCCTATGATAAAGAAGGTGCAGTGATTACTATCACAGCTGGTGCGGGCGGCACTGATGCACAGGTAATGCTGGATCTGTAGCAAGGGGCAAGGTCTATTGATTTTTTTTCTTGATAACCTCGGTGCTTGGGTCAGTTTTCGCGCATCTCGACTAATTCAACGGGATATGTGCCGCCAAATACTAGGTAATCTGTCCACCAATGCTAAGGCTAGTGTTGCTTAATTGAGTGAAAACCAGGAAAAGAACAAAAGAAAACTTATGAATATGAAGGAATAAACTAGTAAAAGGGAACGAAGAACTAGAAAGAAGAGAGCTTATGAATAGGAGCGGAAAAGTATGTTCTATTTCACTGCAATTAAAACTTACATTTATAATATAACATTAACTTCAAATACCTAAATATCAGCACAAAATCTGCTGAAAATAACAAACTCCTAACGACTAGGAAAAGAAGTTATCTCAAGAAAACTAATTTACTGCAGTAAATAAATAAAGCTGCAGTCCTAAAACATACCATCTAACACTCCTTGCTTTAGGATCTGCACATTCCTAGTTTCTTTCTGAAAAACTCAAACTTGTCGAGGGGAAGGAGCTTGGTGAAAATGTCAGCAACCTGCTTATCACTTTTGCAGTAAAGAAGCTTCACTTCTCCATCTTTCTGCACGTCTCTCGAGAAAAATAACTTAACCTTGAAATGTGTTATGTATCTTTAGGGAATGATCGATTCACAGGCGATATATAAATTCAACTCGTTAAAGGGAGGCTGAAACCTTAGAGTTCATTAAAAGAGAACTCCGATCTCTTCAACTCTTCAAAAGGAGACTGAAACCTTAGAGTTCAATGGAAGAGAGAACTCTAATCTCTTGCGTTTTGTTGAAATATGATTTCTGATTTATTCCTCAAAAGCCTCTTTAAATAGGAGTCTTATTACATCAATAGGAAGTCTAATTCTTATGAAAGTAGGAGACCTAAATCCTATTCCTGTTACGACCCAAGGTAGACCCTAGGTGTAACATGGCGTATAAGACCTCGAGAGGCCCCATACAAACCACTTAGCATACATCGTACAAGATAATAGAAATCAAAGATTTAAAAGACACTGTCAAAACATACAATTTTGTAAAACAAGCGGAAGTTTAACAATGTTTCAAAGCCATCTAGTACAAAAGAGTAATTGGGACATAACCCGTACATCAAGATCAAAACTAAAACGTAAAGACAGTATGAAATAAAGGCTTGGTCCTCGGAACATGAGGACTCACCAATCTTTAACTTCTACTAAGAGATCCTTAGCAACGGAGGTGCGAATCTGGAGCGTCGGACCCTACATTTGGGGATAATGTAGGCAAGAGTATGCGTTAGTACAAATATGTACCAAGTATGATAGCAATGCATAGAGTATAAATCATGATAAAGGGACATTTTGTGATATGCAATGACCAAGCTAAAACACGATAATAAAGAGTTAGAAAACATACGTCATAAAACATGGTCAATGCAAGTAGACATCATCTTAAAACACATGTGAGATACTTCTTGAAGTAACCTTGATTCATTAATGTGGGAGGATTACCTATAACCGACATGTAAAACCATGTGAGTTATTAACATGGAATCCGGTGTCTACCCCACACCGATAAGAGGTGTTCTCACTTGCCAAGGTAAGAACCATGAACTTTCTAGCTTACGTGGATCCACTAGCTAATGTCTATCTAGACAACCTATGATGGCGCATAGTTTATGGGACACGGGTAATCGCCACTTGTCCACTCGGTACTAAGTATACCTCCCACGGAATATTCATTAGTCTTATTCATCTTTTCTTTAAGGGACTTGGGTAATCACCTCTTGTCCTTATCTCATGTGACATGGGTAATCGCCTCTTGTCTTTTGTTAGAGGGCATGGGTAATCGCCACTTGCCTCATCATTAGAATAACTCCTTAACTTTGATTCATTTTAGGTGAGAAGACCTTTCAACCTTAGAATCCTTTATGATAAAATCCTTTCACAACAATCAACAACAACAACAACAACAACATATATGCTTTACTCTCAAAGCAACTTACATGAGATGGACATCTCTACTTACGCCAATTTTCTTTGTTTGAGGTTGATAGACCTTATATGCTTTGGAAATAGTACTATAGCCTATAAAGATGCCAGGAACTGCGTTCTTATCAAGTTTATATCTTTTAACCTGGGCACATAACAGAAACACAAGCAGCCAAAAATCCTAAAAAATTGCAATGAGGGTTTATGACCATACCATACTTTATATGGTGTTTTATCCTCTACTGCTCTAGAAGGAAGTTTGTTTTGCAAAAAAAATAAAATAGCAGTGCTAGTGGCCTCTGCCTAGAACATTTTTGGTAGATATTTCTCATATATCATGCACCTAGTCATCTCTATTATACTTTGGTTTTTCCTCTCACTGACTCCATTTTGTTGTGGACTATAAGACAGTTAGTTGATGTTCTATACCAGCTTTGTCACAAAATATTTTTAACTACTCTGAAGTGTACTCTTTCCCATTATCATAATTCAGACCTTAAAGTCTAAATTGTGTAGCACTTTGATTTTCCACCTTTGCTTTAAAATTCCAAAACACATCAGCTACTTCTGACTTGAATTTTAAGAAAAAAAATCCAAGTCAATCCTATTAGATGATCAAAAATACAATGTAGTTGTTAAGAAGTCTCACATCAGTAGAGGAATGGGAAATTGATCTCCTTATATGAACTTGGACAAACCTTCCCTCATGAGCTAGTTTTTGGGGTTGAGTTAGGCGCATGTGTCATATCTTTACAGTAGTAAAGACTACCATTCAATGATGGTGTTCTGTGAGGTCCACGCATATCTGTATGTATGAATGGGCTGAAGCTTTCTTGATGGTCTCCAAGTTGTTTTTGGAAAGGGGTACCTGTTCATCTTGCCAAGTAAACAAGCTTATCACTGATTTTGTATTCTTGGTAGATCATTCACAAGTTTCTTTCTTTGCATGAACATCATACCTTGATGATGAAAATGACCCATTCTTATATGCCAAACTTCTGTAGAGTTGTCTGACATAATAAAAGCTATCTGATCTTCTTCCAAAGGTTCTTGCCCTCCATTTTGACCTTGAATACTTCATGACCTGATGGATCTTCTATCACACAAGCCTTTTTTTTTAAAGAACATGTTGAATGCTTTCTCCATTAGGCATTGATTGACCAACACTGATCAGGTTCCGATCAAGGTCTTGGACATACAAAATATCTATGATAAACTTAGATCTAGAGCAACTTGTAATGGCTATGGTGGCAACACTCAGCATTGTAAATTTTAACTTTCTTTGTCTCCGTGTTCCTTAACTCTTTGAACAACTTTTTATCAGATGTCATGTGGTTAGAACAATCATTATCAGTTAACCAACTTTGACTTGAATCAAGGCATGTGAAACTGGTTGCAAAAAAAGAGTTGATCTTCTTCTTTTTAATCAACGACTTGAGCTTCAACTTCAGGCTGCTGAATTTTGGCTTTGCATATTACAACTTCATGACCCTGTGAATTGCAGTTGTTGCATTTTGCATCAGGTCTCCTCCAACATAAAGGAGGGTAGTTAGCCTCTTGCTTTTAGTAAAATTCTCACTATTTTGTCCTTGTATCTTCTTGTTCTGCTTCTTCTAGTTTCTTCCATCTTCTTAATGTTTGACTAGTAGGGCTCCTTCAACAACTCCTTCCGGTCTCATTATACGGCGTTGCTCTTGTGCTTGAAAAGCACTTAAGAGCTCTGCTAATATAATTTTGGACAAGTCCTTAGTATTTTCTAAGGTTGTAACAGTAGCCTCAAATCTTTTAGGTACCGTTAGAAGGACTTTCTCAACGATCCTTGAATCGTTAAAAATGGAACCCAACAATCTGACACGATTTGCTATGTTAAGAAGTTGATCAGAATACTCCTTTATGGTTTCACTTCCTTTCATCCTTTGCAACTCAAACTCATGTACCAAATTTAGCACTTGCATTCCACGAATCCTTTCATCTCCTTCATACTCAGTCTTGAGATAATCCCATACCTCTTTTGCTGACTTCAGGGACATGATACGAAAAAAACGGTGGATGAAACTGCAGTTTGCAACATGCCTTTTCCTTTGATTTCATGATTTTCTCTCTCCTTGTGATGTTTGATTTGCACCATCGTGGGATTGTTTGGTAAGGGAACAATCTCTTAATCATCTTCTACAGCCTCCCAGGGATCCAAAGCTTCTAGCTATGTCTGCATTCTAACGGCCCAGATTTGATAACTTTCTCCATTGAAAGCTGGTGGTGCCATTGAAAAAAAACTTGTTTCTCCGTCCATGGAATGCAGTGAAACAGATTAATGAATACACATAGGTCCCTCAAGAATAAAATGCTCTAATACCAACTGTTGTTTAATTGAGTGAAAACTAGAATAAGAACAATTGAAGACTTATGAATATGAGGAATAAAGATAGTAAAAAGGAATGAAGAACTAGAAAGAACAGAGCTTATGAATAGTTGTGGAAAAGTACGATTTATTTCACTGCAATTAAGACTTACATTATAATAAAACATTTATTTCAAAAAATAAAACATTAACTTCAAATACCTAAATATTAGCACAAAATCTGCTGAAAATAAACGAACTCCTAAAGACTAGGAGAAAAAATTATCTCAAGAAAACTAATTTACTGTAGTAAATAATTAAAGTTGTAGTCCTAAAACATAGCAACTAACAGATAGGACAGATGGGAAGAAATTAGCTAATGGTTTCTATCTTTGTTGGGATTTGTATCTGAGACCTCATGGTTCTCAATTCACTTCATTGACCACTAGGCCATACCCTTGGATACTAGGTCTATTGATTTTAGGACATGGAAGTGTGAATGTTTGTGCATATGAACCCGGATGATTAAAAATTTCATACTCGTTCACATTTTTCATGAACTTCATCATGGGTGTTCACCTGAGGCGGTGAGATAGTTTTCGATACATTCTGCCAAGTGTCAGTGTTATTTCATATAAGCTGATCATGATAATGCTGTAATGAATTTTATAGAGCCAGAAAAGTTTTAGGTGCCTTGCTACAGTGTAGAATTTCATTCTTTGCTGTGATCATTAACTATCATTGTCCATACAGATCTCAACTCAGTATGTCTATTTCTATTTAAAAGCCTTTTTATATGATCGAACAGATGATTTAAATGTTTTTGAGCTTACAGTTTGCTCATGACGAAGATCTCAAATAAAACATGATATGACATATTATTTTTTATTATTCATCTCTTCAAAAAGAATCGAACAAAAAAAAAGATATGATGTGGAGTAGACATGATTGAAGCTCTCTAACAATTTGTATATTTTGCTTTGAAACCTTATCTTGCTTTTTCTTCATTACAGGTTTGGTCCATCTATTCTCTACTAGTCCTGTTTCATCAGAAAGTTTTCAAGTCTTCAAAAACTTGCAAAATCAGTGTCACAATTTTCATTACCTCTTTTACATAGAATATTTTGATTAATTCCAGTGCAGGATTGGGCTGACATGCTTCTCAGGATGTATGTGAGATGGGCAGAAAAGCAGCGCTATAAAACGAAAGTTGTTGAGAAGTCTGTGGGAGAAGAAGCTGGGATCAAGTCAGCCACTGTTGAAATTGATGGACGGTATGCATATGGCTACCTGTCTGGGGAGAAAGGAACCCACAGGATTGTTCGACAGTCTCCCTTCAACTCTAAAGGCCTTCGTCAGGTTATATATCTTTATGTGATAACACTCTTTTGGGCCTCCTTATATTCTGTATTTTCTAGATACTCACGCATATATGAAAGACTTCGTATGAGTTTGAGTGGGCTACTTCATACCAAAAGTCCCTAAGCATGATAATTATACCGTGTGAGCTTGCTTACATTGTCAGTCCCAAGTCGGAATAAAGGGTGAGAACTAGCGTAAAAAGCCAGTTCATGATGAATTCTCACAATAGTATCATTGGGACATACTCATCAAGGAACACATTACATCGCCACCTGGATGTGATGAAAAATAAGCTAGTGATTCTGTCAAATTACCAATTGGATGTGACGGAGTATGAACTGCGGTTCCTGCATCAGTGGTGGCCTGGTGGGTACGAGTAAAGAGGTTAGTACTGCCGCATCAACACCTTGATGTAGTACAACATAGGAAAGGGTCCCATGTCATGGACAAATCTAGGTAAAGAAGCTAGTATACATCCTGGATATGGTAAAAATAGGGAAGGGTTCCCGCATGATCAACTGATGAGGGTAGGAAAGCTAGTCCAAGAGAGTTGAACTTGAGTAGATAGCTGGAACATAGGCTTTTTGATTGGAAAGTCGATGGAATTAGTAGATACCTTAAAAAGGAGGAAAGCTATATTGCATAACTACATGAAACTAAATGGTCGGGGCAAAAGGTTAGAGAGATGGCAACTGTGAGAAATATAGGAAAAGAATATTATTGAATTGTTGTTGTGTCTACATTATTACATTGAGACCCTATTTATAGACCCTAGAATACAATCCTTTACCAAGTAGGATACTATTTAGTATTCCTATATCTATTTCTATTCCTATTCCTATTCTAATAGGATTGTATAAACATATTCCTATTCTAACACTCCCCCTCAAGCTAGTGCATACAATTCATGTACCTAGCTTGTTACAAATGTAATTAACATGAGGACCGATGAGGGGCTTGGTGAGATATCTGCAAGTTGATCACTCGACTTCACAAAATTGACAGTCAATCTCAATGTGTTTGTCTTCTCATTAAATACTGGATTTGATGCATAATGTCAGTCAATCTCAATGTGCTTAATCTTCTCATGAAATACTGAATTTGATGCATAATGCCGATAAAATAGAGTGATAAAATTACAGCGTTGAACTTCCCAAACCTAACTTGCAAAGACTGTTTCAGACCATAGAGTGACTCACATAATCGACATACAAGGCTACTAAACTCCCCCTGAGCAACAAAGTGCTCAAAATCTAGTATAAAGTACATGGATCATGTTGGAATCAATAGATTAGTCGATATTAAACAAGTCACCGAAAAATTGGCCGAAACATGCTCATATGCCGGAGTATTAGATTTGATGGCTAAAAGTAGTCACAATCTAAGAAATAAAATTATATGGGTAGGGTCGGAAAGATGTCACGACCCAACTAGAAAATAAAAATTATATAGGATAGTTCAAATTGATGGAACAACCCCATTGAAAAAGAGAAATAATATGGGTAGGGTCGGAATGATGGCACGACCCTACTGAACAAGAAAAAATTATACGGGTAGGGTTGGAATGATGGCACAACCCTATGCAAATCAGATTTGAGGAGTCACCGGAAAGACGAATGGAACTATGCAAATCAAATCTGAGGAGTCACTGAAAAGACACATGGTACTATGCAACTCAGATATGAGAAAATAGTTCAGAAAAAATCCACGGTACTACGCAAATTAAATATGAGAAGTAGTCCGTAGAGATGCACAGTGCTACACAAATAAGATATGCAAACAAAGGTAGTCACCGGGAGGATGGCATGGTGCTACACAAATTAAATATGAAAAAATAGTCACCGGAATGATGGCACGGTGCTACACAAATTAAATATGAAAAGTACTCACCGGAATGATGCACGGTGACCCTACTTTTGCTAACATAATCGTTGACCGGACGGGCTGCATATATGGATAATAGCCGCCCGCCGGCAGCGGAAGCTCTTTGATTTTCTACCAAGATCGTAGAGGCACTGATACCATGTGAGAAATATGGAAAAAGAATATTATTGAATTGTTGTTGTGTCTACATTATTACATTGAGACCCTATTTATAGACCTTAGAATACAATCATTTACCAAGTAGGATACTATTTAGTATTCCTATATCTATTTCTATTCCTATTCCTATTCTAATAGGATTGTATAAACCTATTCCTATTTTAACAGCAACATAAGCGATAAATTATGGTATTGTGGGATAGAGAAAAATAGTAATGCGGTGGGAGCTATTGTAGAACAAGAACTTAAGGATTAAGGTTGTTTGGATACTATTATTTCATCAAGTCTTGCATGCGTAAATGAGAACACTTAATGTCATTAGTGCCTACGCTCTGCCAATAGGATTAGATGCAGAAGCTAAACCTAATTTTTTGTCAAGATATGGATACCTTGGTTCAAGTGAATCCAAGCAACATATAAGGTAAAGACTGACAGTTCTGAACATGTAGAATTGTCCATGGGGGATATGGTTATGGTACTAGGGGTGATGAAAGAAAGGATACTCGTGAGTTCACCCTAGCTTATGGTTTAGTTGTAGCAAACATATTTTAAAAAGGGATATTCTCGCCTGATAACATTAAATAGTAGGGTAATCATAGTCAAATAAACTTTATCCATTCTAAAAGACGTGATAGAACCATATGTCCGGGGGTTGGAATTGAAGACTGCTAACCAATTAGCGTTTCAAGAAAAAACTTTAGGAGGAGGGAACATTGACTTATAGGGGGACACTGACATCTAGTGGAAATCCAATTGTAGTAAGAAAGTAGAAAATGATGTGTTAGGCAAGTCTAAAGATAGGACTTCAACCACAAGAATCCTAGTGTTAGTATAAGGAGATACTAAGAGTTATTAGAGCTAAAGAAAGTGTTATAGGAAGTTATCAGATGAAAAAGAGGAAGAAGTTGTTGAATATTATAAGAGAGCTAAGAGGAAAGTTAAGCTTAAGAATATTATTAGTAAAAATCTAGGGAAAAACTAGATGGATTGTACCAAATGTTAAGGTCACAAGAATGAGAGAATGACATGTTTAAACTATCATGGTTAAGAGAGAAGAAGCGTAAAGACTTAAACAAGTGTACATAATGAGATCAATGGAGAGATGCTATTTTGATCAATTGTTCAACTCGAACAACGATTATCACATTTTGGATCTCTATATATTTGTACACAATATAAGCTTTAGCCACTCATAGAATTAGGCCATAGAGGTATAAAATGCATTGAAAAATATGAGAACTGGAAAAGTCTGGTCCAATGGTGTCTCTATAGAAATTTGTGAGTTGCTCGGAAAAGTTGGTGTAGGATTACTAACCAAGCATTTTTAATGTTGTACTAGGAAGTGATAGAGTAACTTGATTTATATTTTATAAGAATAGAGGAGATATTTGAAGTTGTATGAACTATCGTGACATTGAATTTATGAGTCATATGAACTTTGTAAAGGATTGACAGAGCGGCATATTGACACCACATGTTAGGTCTAGGGAGGGTTGTGTATACGAAGCCTTACCCCTACTTAGTATACTCTTTCCTGATTTTCATAAGGGGTTTTCAAAGTATTCAACTTATTAAGTATGGTAAGAAGAAAGTATGGACAATTTCTAGTTCTCATTAATTTTATCCTACATAATGTTGGTGTGGGATGCATTTAAATGGAGAATTGTGGTCAGTTAGGATTTATATAGCCGACCTTAACTTATTTGGGATTAAGGCGTAGTAGTTGTTGGTTGTTTTATACTTAATTGTAGCACCAGGTGAGCTATTTACTATTTAGAAGCAACGTGGCCCAACAGTCCAAGCTTATTTCTCTTGTGCTCCCATTGTTGTTTGCAACATGTTTGAGTAGTTTCTCTTTCCTAAAATTTAAGTAACAATTTGCCAAGTGGATACGTTCTGAGGTAACTTCAAAGGGTTGATTTATTTTCCTTCCATGAGTTTGTTGTGAAACAAGGGAAAAGGTAGTTCTCCATATCTGATATCTTCCCAGAACTCTGACTACTTGTCTTGAATATCATTTGATAGTTATTGCAGAGAAAAGGGAAGATAGTGATCTTTTTTTTCTATTTAATATTGGATTATTAATTCAGTCAAAAGTGTAACCAAAGAAAAAATTCTAGATCCTAATAGCATTTCTATGAAAGACACCGACAATATTTGAATAAGCATTTAAACATATTTAAGAAGTACCAGTCTGTGACTGTTTTCTGATTAGATAGTACTCCCTCTTTATCATTTTATATGATGGTATATGATCAAAGTATGGAATTTAAGATGTTAATGTGACATATATATTATATTAATGACAGTGAAATAAAAATATCAAAGTAATGGTTGAAAGGCATTGATATGGAAAACATTACATCAAAGTTTATAAGTTGAGTAATTTAATAAATTTGAATTATTAAAAGTTATACGATAATAGAATGATGCCAAACAATTGGGAAGTACCCAAATTAAAAAAAGAAGAAAATGGTCATGTAAATAGAATTGGAAGGAGTATATCTAGAGTAAACTCTCTGCATAATCTTGAGAGACATTGCTGCAAATGAAACTTGGGAAGCTATCTCTGATGGGAGAAAATGGTTATGCTTGCTTCTTTATGGTACAAGTTACCTGATTGTATAATAAGAAGGAATTTGTGTACATACACTTGAAAAAATTCAGAGTATGACAAAAGAAAAAGTAATCTAGGGAGAAAATGGGTTTGCTTGCTTCTTTATGGTCTAACAAGCAAAGAACATTGATGGGGATATTGGGAGGGAAAAAGGCGATCTCTGATACATCTAGAGGGGGAGCAAAGATTTTGTTTGCCTCTTTATGGTCCAAAGAGCAAGAGCTTGTATGGGTTTATTGTGTTGATTGATCTAAAGTGCAAAATAGAAAGTATTGGTGGTTGATCGATTTGTTTCACGAGTATTTCCAGTTTCTATTCTTTTATTTTCTTTGGGCATAATCTCCCTGTAATTGCTGTAGCCTAATGGCCATTCCATGGGGACTTTGGAGATTTTCCCCCTTCCCCTCGCTTGTCTGGTGAGGGTTCATTGCTGAATGTGGCAAGTTGTGTAGAATGTCTTGTCTTTAGCTTAAATGGTCACATAATGATGCACATTTTTTCCTGATGTAGTTCAATAAATGAGCTTTGATTTTATTCAAAATATGCTCATTTTGATTTTAAAAAATACCCCGTCCTCCCATTTTGTAAATTAGATTTCTTGAAAGTGTGAAAGTTGCATCAAATGGTTTTATTGGTGAGTGGTGCCAAATATGTTTACAGTTTTTTTTTCTTTATAACGCTTTTCTTCGCTAAAGCTCATGCTTTAATTGCGCTTGTGCTTAAAACTTAAACAGATTTTGGCACTTTTGTGCATTCCGCTTTTGAAAACTCTCTTTTCAGTTTGTCCCGAAAATAATTTTGCCTCTCTATTTTTAGAAACAAGTTAACTTTTAAAAGTTCATTCTAACCTAAAAAACTAAACCTGCTTTTAGAGTGCAGACACCTTAGCAGTTTGACGCCTACACTAAAGTGCCAATTAAGCCAGATGAAGCGCACAAGCTGGTTTTCATCAAGTTCCAAGGTTTAAGCGTGCTTTAAACGAGCCTTTAAGAACACTAGTGAAAAATGAGCAATGTATCATTGTTTCATTAACCACTTTATTCTGATACCGTGCATCTTAGTATGATATATCTGTTTTTCTATCTTCATAGCAAAAGAATCTTGTCATTTTCATACATAGACAATACATAAATTTTTGAAGTGGCCACTGTGCAGACAAGCTTCACTGGCATTGAAGTTATGCCTCTTCTTCCTGAAGACTCAACAAATGTTGAAATTCCCGAAGAAGCCTTGGATATCAGCTTTACAAGAGCAGGTGGAAAGGGAGGTCAAAATGTTAACAAGGTTGAGACTGCAGTTCGCATCACTCATATTCCCACTGGTGTAGCCGTTCGCTGTACAGGTTCTTCTTTGAAACCTTTTTTTCTTTATTATATTATGTGCACATCTGTAGCGAAGAAGTTTGTTCCGGCTTTGAGATGGAGCGGCCTTTTTGGGTCTAGTGGATAAGTGTTTGATCTTTCTGAATTCTGACATAGATTGACATATGGACTCACAGAGATTAGAGTTGTAAAGTTGTTATAAGCCCAATAAACTATCATATTTGCTCTTAGCTCGTTATGTTTTTGTTCACTTCCCATCCTTTGCTCTTCTTTCTCTTGTTAGATTTTGAACTATGGTTAAAGCATTAATTTTCTTGTCTGAAATTCTTGCCATCAAGTATTTCCTGATGTACTACTATTAATCGCAAAATCTATTATAATATTCTAGCTGCTACTGACGTAGACATGGAGTCTTAGTGGAAGAACAATACAAACAAACACGATCAAATGTGTACGGAATAGACCAAAAATCATCTTCTTTTTTTCCCTAGATGTATAGCTTATACTACAGGGCTAAGGTGTGGCTTATTTGGAATTGATGTGTGATACTAATAATATAGCTTCACAATTGCAGAGGAGAGGTCACAGCTAGCAAATAAGATTAAAGCTCTAAGCAGATTGAAGGCAAAATTATTGGTGATTGCAGAGGAACAAAGGGCATCTGAAATAAAGCAAATAAGAGGAGACACGGTGAAGGCGGAATGGGGCCAGCAAATAAGAAACTATGTCTTCCATCCTTACAAGCTAGTAAAAGATGTAAGGACTGCTTATGAAACTTCTGATATCACTTCTGTGATGGATGGTGAGTTAGATCCTTTTATCAAAGCCTACCTTAAGCACAAGTACAGTTTGGCAGCAAACCCTAGTGGACTCACTTGATTATTTGTATTCTAAAATTATGTAAATGAATCACTACAACATCTTTAATGTTGTTTTTACCTTGTATTTGAGATTTGTTTGTGTCTAAATTATCATAAATGAAGAGATTTTGATCCCATGTTTCAATATTGTGTTTTTAGTTAATAGTATACAAGTGAACCTATGGAAAATGTGGGACTAGTGTCAAAACTTGACATTCTCATTCCTAGGTATTTGAGGTTATGTTCAGAGACACTACCACAAAAGCGGTATGCCCACAACCAACAAAAGGTGACTCTTGTCAAATTTTATACTTCAAATATAAACTTGTCTATTTTTTCAGACTTGCAAAATTGTCAGCCTTAATGATACCTATACAGTATATAATATTGATTTAGTATCAATTATGTGAAATTAGTTGGGGTATATAGTTTAATCATTTTGTGTGGTATGAATGTAAAGGGGTATATGTTTGTAATTATTTTGCTTTTATGGAGTATTTAGTTTCCCTAAAAAAAATCAGCTGATCCACATGAGTAAAAAGACAAGAAGAAGAATGGAAAAAACAATAATTAAAAATCGGGAAGAATTTCAAAAGAACCATTGAGTGAAAGGCGAGAGAGAGCTAATATTTTAATCAATAATGGTGTTGTACTCATTGGGGAAAGAAGATACCTGCCTCTATCTCAATAGCTTTCAAAACAGAGTGATTTGATTAGCTTGCATCGAAAGATCGTCTAAAGCTAGCCCTTGCTATCAGTCCAACCAAGGGCACCCCTTCCTAGTCCGCTTAGTCGGTTGAAGGACAAAAGTGACTTTTTGAAAGGCCTCACACGCCTAAAGCTTTTGTATTACACGCAATTTGAACAAAAATGTCACATAGACAGGTTAAAAAGGTATTTAAAATGTGTGTTTTAATAGAAGGGTTTAGTTGGTAAAGTGGTGAGTAGAAGATCCAACTGACAAACAGAGTCAAGTACAAGGGTCTCCCAAGTCATTCCGCCTTTAAATTTTGAGCATTCTTCAAAGTGAGATATTAATAACAAAAATTACATTTGAAATATCTTTTTGTGTGTGTGTGTGAGAGAGAGAGAGATGAGACGCGTTGGAGCAAGACCTATCTACCAAAATAATATTCAATCATAAATTCAGATATTAGAGCATAAGGAAGAAAAATAAAAACCAACGAGAAAAAAGAATGACAGGAGATGAAGCAAGCATTTTTGGTAGAGGGTTAGAGCAAATGCCCATTCCTCTCACAAAAGTAGGTTGTACAAGCACTCTGGTATCCTAACACAAGTAATAATCAGATCAGATCAGAATTAGCAGATACCAGTCTCTCAAGATCAGCCACAATTTAAGTGATCAAATATAGGGTGCTAGACAGGTTTTACAACAAATAAAGTATCTGAATAGCATCTGTTGCAACAATAGTCATAGACTAATAGTTCAAGGGCATTCGCTTGTTTTAGCATCATCAGAACTCATGGTCAGACCAGGATATAAAAAACATTTTGTGCAGCACGAAACCTCATTTTCTTGCAACTAGCCCGCTTTACTACTAAGATAAGGACCTTCCCTCACATGTTTTAAGCCATACCTCCTAAGTTCATCAGCAATTTAAAGCGCGCCTATGATATTTGAATACTACTATAAGAATGTGGGTCACATGGTGCCACTGCTATTGACCTCATCTGATTGCTTTGGAGAGTACTTCTCCATCAGCTTAGACAGTTCAAGGTCGAATTTCCTCTCAAGTTCAACCTCCTCTTCCCAGTATTTGCGTCTCAATGCAGCTATCCTATCGTCATGAGTTCGCATCAGATTCTCCCTCTCTTCCACAAACTCCTCCATTTCCTTGTCCTGGAGTTTGATAAATTTGGCAACTTTGTCTGCCCTGAAATGCAAATGACAAATAAAATATAAGGAAAATCTGGATCATTAGAAAATTATCAAAGCATCAATTTTATTGATAAAATATCTCAGGAAGCGTAATATAAGGTCTGAGATTTCCCTTGCAACACACATAGAGAGATCACAACTATAATAAACCTGAAGTGGTGTCTAGATTGAGAATCAGCTGGCTTTTGTTCTGGTATTAGGAGAAAATACTTTAGTTTTGTTTTTTCGCAAAACAAACGTGAATGTTTGGATTTGGGAGATCTTTGGGTTTTTCTTCTTGAAAAATTAACACTCAAACCCTACAGCAATATTTATAAGGGTAAATTATTTCTTATCAGGTAAAGTGGCAGCTTTCATAAGGGTAAAATGATAGAGGAAAACCAACTAGGAACCAAAGGCAGTATTTTTGAATAACAAAAGAATTTATTCTGAAGAAAAATAAAAAGAACTCAAGGAATTCCTAGATGAAAAATCTAGACACAAAATTGTAATTGCCAAGTTAAAATAGGGGCCAAAAAAGAATACTTTTGTTCTGGGCCCCTAGTGGAGCCACTAATTTTCATGCAGAAATGGATCATAACGAAATTTCTTCCAACACAGCAGGGGATAGAACAAGAATTAATTTCTCTGATTCAGTTCCAGAGTTAACAAAGCAAAGGCAAAATACCTACCAAACTACAGGTACCTAAATGAAGCCTTTAAAAGAATGTTTTACCTGACCCGATGATCCTCAACTGAGGAAGTATTTGCATTAGATTGTTTAACCATCTCACGCTGCTCCTGCTGTGTCTTTTCAAAATTGTCCTCCCTGGCAGTCCTGGCATCGTGAATTATTTTGATCTGATCCTTGAAGAACTGTTCTTGAAACTCCATCTACAGAAAGTATAACCACATGAATCGGATTGCATGTAGAGAGGAGGACAACATTCTAAAAACACAAGGAAAGAGTTAAGGGATGATTTCCCCAGAAAAAAGAATAGAAAACACCAATGACATGAAAAAAAATATCCAAATGCAGAAGGCAAAGAAAAGTTCAACGATTGACTTCTATGAATAATTGAATGTCAAAGCAAGACAAAGTTGTCCCAGTGTCAATTGTAAGCAATTTTAGAACGTAATATCAGACACGGTTTAGTCATACCACTAAACAGAATTTAATATCAGACATTGCAATTAGGAGTTAATAATCAAAGAATATATCATCATCTAAATACATGAAGCCGTCAGTTACTGCAGTTTTAACCTATGTTGCTTGGATTCTCCAAAAAGAACTGCCGCACCCGTGTCAGATCCTCCAAAAATCCACTACTTCCAGAGGATCTGACATGCATTCGCCAGCATTTGTGGAGAGTCCAAGTAACATTGGCATTAACGTCTCAAGGATTCAAATTTTGATCAAATGGTGCTAGTAGTACCCACATTACTATATCTGTCATTTTCTTACATACCTCTTCCTTGATTTGTTCATGGTGCATCTTTGTTTTCAATCTGACTATCTTGTTCTCTTCCAATGTCTGACGGTGTTTTTCACTCACCAAACTGAGAGACTCTTCAAGAGCTTTAGCCTGCATTTGGTGTTTAGCAGCTTTGTTCTTGAACCATATTAGTTGTTGATTATCTTCCCTCATCTGTTTGGCTGGATTCCAAACAGCTTCTTTGTATGACCGCATCTCAAACTTCAACTTTGATTTCCCTACAAATCACACGTGAAATCAAACTTCAACAGACATATTTGTTAAATACAGGGAAGATCAACATTTCACTGAAGTACAACAATTTGTTCAGAGAAAAAAATAATCACAAATACCAGCTGAATGCTGATTAAAGTTATCTATGTCTTTTTTATCTGCCATGTAACCATAGAGCAGACGTTTCCCCCCAGGATAAAAGCGGGCTGAACGACGTTCCCATGCATCTCTATTTCTTCCATTTTCAGAAAAATGCTCACTGAGACGATCAGCCTCAATGTATCCCACTGCAGAGGCCTCAAAAATCAACAAACTCATGCCACGATGGCCTTGTGGACCATATGAATGTCGAGCCTTGACAGCAGCATAAGAGCTAAAATACTCAAGCAGCTCCTGATTCCCCATTCCAATCCACTGTGAAACACAGCTCAGAGAGAGAGAGAAAGAGAGGGAGAGAGGTAGGGGGAGTGGGAGAGAGGTATTAGACAGCCATCCAATAAAGTGGTAAATAAAAGTAAATCAAACAAACAGAAGACAAATAATCACTCTACCTTATCGTTTTCATCTTTATCAAGCCTTGTGTTCATGATAATCACCATTGGTGGCCACACAATTTCTTTATCTTTAAATTCCATGCCACCCCATCTTCCATACACTTCACCTGGAGGTACAACAGAAGTACCTCTCTGACGAAGCTCTTCCTCCAAAAGTTCAGCAAGTTCTCTGTGTATTTTAACCCTTAATCCTTTCGTTTTTGCATGGGTCATCAATGATTGCAACCCTGTAAACCATTCAATTGCGCCTGGACCACCTTTGCATGCAGGGCAGTGCCACTGTCGTTCAGGATCATTGATCTCAGTAACAGTCAAACTGTCAAGAGAGTCAAAAAGTTGATTGAACCAAGGATTTTTCTTGCGTGTCTCATAACTCATTTCACCCACATCTGAATCAAAGTCATCACTGTGAAGGTCATCATCACTTTCATCAAGAAAATCCAATTCATTATCCTCAGCATCATGTTCACTGGCCTTATCATCATCATCAGCAACAGGGGAATTATCCTTGGGATGAGCTGAGGCAACTCTAGCAGACCAATCCCAACCATTCTTCAGAGCAGGAGGAACTGGAGCAGATGATGGGAAACCTCCATCATATAGATGCGGCCTTGCAAGTTTTTGAGGATCACTAGGTGTAGACCAGTTATTTCCAGAACCCCGCCCTGATCCAGCATTGTTACGCATTCCCGATTTCTTACCAACATCTGGATGACCCCAAGCTTTAGTATTCTGGTTTCCCCAAGCTTTTGGACTAGGATTCTGAGGAGCCCATTGCTTCCCAGCACTGCTTCCACCCTTGTTCTTGGGCTTCCTAGCATACACTTCCCATCCTTCATTCTGTTCAGAGTTCAAACCAATATCTCCAACACCTCGATTTA